GAATCTTCAAGTTCACCAACTGGAACTAGGTACAAAATGGTGGCTTGTGTGGGAAGTAGAATTAAGGAACAAGAGCACCTCTGAGTACTTCCTGAGTCCAGGAATTAATTTTCAGTACCACTGCTGAGCTTATAATCCTGTCACACAAAAACCCTTCCTGGTGTCTCACTCAAGCCTTCTCAGCAGCCTAATTTAGAAAGAGGGGAGTCTTTTCATTGTCAAACCACTGTGAGTTAGAAATCCTTGGCAGTCTGTTACCGGAGACAGTAATAGGAGGTGGCCCACCAGGGCTGGAGCCCCAGTCTTTCATCTGGAGCCCAGAATCTCTGAGAAAACATCTGCCCATCACCCTGCTGAAAAAAAAAGATCCTGGGTCTCTGATCTCACTCCTCTGTGATTCACCTTCTGCTGTCCCCAACAGCTGAATCCTTTCCCCTGAGCTTTTGTAAGATGAAGCGCCATCCTCTCCCCTCTCCTTGCATCCATTTTACAGACAGAGGTATCCTTAGGAGACAAGCACCTTTAAAGACACATGCAGATATTAATATAATGAATTAGCAAATGCACATTTGCGCTCTCCCTCCCCCCCCCCCCCCCCCACCTTTGGTACCTGGCATCACACTATCTATTACCAAAAGGATCAAATATACCTTGTGCCCACTTGTTACATTCAGTAGCCTCAGATAGGCTGAAGGGCTTGGGAATACTTAGTAGCTTTTTGGTTTATTTATTTCAATAGCAGGTTCTCATACATTAGCCCCACTTTTACAAATTGCTTGTCAGTGTCCAAAGTCAATTGTGTGTAGCATGGAGAAGTGCTGTTATTTGAATACCCACAGGCTCAAAGCAACCAGGACACTAGTAGAAAGGTTGGGCTTTGGGTAGCTGCTGGAGGAATTTCTGCCAAAATTGGTGAGACTAAAATTACAGCTGCAAATCTTAGGACGCTGTTCCCTGCATGTTTAGACAGAAAGAAGTTCTACAGCTCCCAACATTCCCCAGTTAGCCATGCTGGGAATTACAGGAGTTGTTTTGAGTCTTAGCCTACAGAGAATTGCACTTTTAAACAAGGATGTTTAGAAATTTGAGACACAGTCCAGCCAAAGTTAAGCAATTGTAGGTCTGATCAAGTTCAATGAAGGAGAATTACTTTGAAACTGAAATCTTTGGGTCATAAAAGTACTGTAAATGTGCTCCAATTAAGCCTGGTATTCCCCCACCTCATCACCAATAAGGAAATGTTCCACAACAAGGACACAATTCGGTGGCTATTTACTGCTGTCATCCTTGCAAAGTAAAGCTAATCAAGACCAAAATGACAAGGCACAATATTGGAGTGATGCAGAGTACAACTTTCATTCAAGCAATAGTTTTTCTGTGGTTGGAAATGTCACAATAAAGAGCTGGCAGACTAGTGAATACCTGGATTGGTTTTCTCACCTGGATTTGGGATTGGACCTCTCAGAGAATTGGCCAGCCTTTGGATCCAGTGGATCAGAAGTTGTTCAGTGGCCTGGATTAACCACAACACATCCTGACATAGGACTTTCTGGCTGGGTTTACACAACACAAGCAACCTGTATAGTTGCCATGGTACATAGGTTTTTGAGTTTGTGTTTTGTTTACCATGTTCTACCCAACAGACGAGCAAGTGGTTTCTATGTTGTTATAGTTTCTATCCTTCCTACTCAGTCCTCCCACTGTTGACATGTATGTGATCAGCCACTTAACTGAAATTAAGTCCCAAGGTGCATCACTCCCTGCCTATATTTTCTTCTTCTTCCTCACTGGTCTGCACATAGATGCTGAATCCTGGAGTAGCTCCTGCCATTGCATCTCTTTACAGGGAACTCTGTGGTAGTTGCATTCCAGGACTATGGAAATGGGAAACCATGATCCTGCATTCAGATAACAAAACAAGCCAAGAGAAACCATAAAACAAACAATTGTTTCTTATCATGGTTTCTGAAGACCATACTTACCATGGTGAAATACCACAACTAGGTTCAGATAACATAAGAAAACAGCAATAGCAATAAACCACCATGGCTTGCTGTGCTGTTTGAACCTAGCCTTTGTCTGGTACTGCTGGTTATGATTTTCTGTCCATTTGGCTATGGTGCAGGCCTTTGGCATGGCAGTACCATTTCTTATCCGCAAAGCCTCTCTCCATCACATCCTAATGGCGGCTCCATCACAACCTAATGCCCTCCAGCCATCAATTACTTGGTGGGGAGGAAGGTTAATTCTTATGATTTATTTTAAACGTTATATCCTGCTTTTCTTCCAAAAATGATTCAGTCTGGGGCAAAGAAAATAAAACCATCAGTAGGTGCAACCAGTTCTACCACTAGATCTGTAACATTTCTATGCAAGGTAAGAGGTGACTTGTTCAAAACAGCATTCCTTAGTGATACTATCTTTCTAAGTAGCTGGTGGATTAATTTAATTCCTGCAGTTGAACATTGCTTTTGCGAATGGGTTGCTAATTATCTTGCATATATCTGAACTTTATAGCAATGTGACAGACTTACTGCACCTCTTGCATTCCATGGTCTTTGGCAACACTGTAAATGTTTTTCCCTGTATATTTATGGGGTGGTGGTTGGAAGCAGGGACCTCCGTTAGGGAATTCTGGTGATGGAAGATTGAGCCAGAGTGGCTTTGTGTTTATTGATGATGCTTGTAAAACTTGAGAAATGGCCTTGCCCCCTGCACTGGTAACAAAACCAAAAGAGGACGCAGATGCCAATGGTCCAGTTCAAAGGACAAGCCATGCAGTGTGGGTGACTTGCTCAAGGTCCCATGATATGCCTGAAGGATAATCAGGCAAGCTGTGGATTGCTGGCCCCCTCTTCCCCACTTTGTTCTGCAGTAGGTATGCCAGGGGACTCCTTGAGAGAACGGAGTCTTCCCCACCCTGCCTTTCACATTCTCTGAAGGAGGAAGATGCAGCTGGAGGGGGAGCTTCTGCTTCCACATGCTGCCCCAGCACGTGAGTCAGCCGGCCCTTTCCCAACAGCCAATCAGCAAGAGCAGCAAAGGGATTTTGCTTCTCTTTCCAAACGGCTCGCTAGAGGTTAAGGGCTGATCCGTGGCAGGCTATCTTGTCTGGAGTCAGAAACCTGACAGCCCATTGTGTGCCAAAGAAACCCTACAAGCCATGGCTTGTCCGCATGGTGCATAAGCCACACTGAAGCCGCCGTGACAAGTTTGGACAACACACTAAGCCAGGGTGGTTTATAAGCCACCAAGGCTGAGCATGTCGTGCAGATCTAGTCAGTTTGTCATCACATGTTGCAGGCTGTAAAACAGCTAAATTCATACATGTGTATATAGGTGGGAGAGGCTCTTTTATGATGGTGCCTGCCACCTACTGGTCCTGTGTGCAAACGTGCAGGAGCAGTGCAATCGTTCTTCCACCGTGTGTCTGTGGGAATAGGATTTCCCATTTGAATGCGTTCTTATTCCCAAGTTTGTTGTCATTGTTGTTCTTGTTTTAAATAATAAAAATCTGTTTCCCCAGTTGATTAGAGGCAGCTTTGTTTAGTTTAGTTTGTTTGCATAGTTTAATTACATAAAATAAATTAACCTAACCAATTGACTATCTAGACAGACTTAGGGAATTTTCAAGATTTGCATGTATTGCATCTAACTGCTTAAATATAATGCATATTTGTATTACTAACATTTCAAACTTAAATTCCAAAAGAAGTAAAACAGGCAAATATCATTTAAATCAGTTATACTTCCAGGGCAATCCAATTGCCAGGATAAAAGTGAAGAAATACAAATTTGAACACTTTGTCACTTCATAATGTCTTCCCTAATTTTTTATTAAAGCAGTGAGGAATCTAGAATCATAGAATAGTAGTGTTGGAAGGGGCCATGAAGGCATTCAAGTCCAACCCCCTGCTGTTGCAGGTCACCATCCCACTCAGATGACTGTCCAGGTTCTTTTTGAATGTCTCTAGTGTGTAATATCTCTAAGTGTCTGCCCTCTTTTAGATATTTTTGTGACAACCATCATCCCCAGGGGTGATGGGATTTGGAGCCCAGCATCTGATGGGCCACTCTTCTATGGAATGGGGTTAATTTATTCTAAAATGCAGCTGGATACATTTTGTGCAGTTTCCAGAAATAAGTTCTTGAGCAGTTAGGAATATTAACTTGCATCTTTCTATTTTTTCCACCATTAGAAATCTGGGAGGTGTTCACTGTGGAAAGGAGGGGGTTCTACCAAATATTTGTGCAGTTGAAAACAATGCTAAGAGTTTGCCGTTTTCTTTGGTTGCCCCACAGATGCAGGGAAGGACATGCATTCTGTCAATGCATAATATCATTTATCCCTCTTGATTTATTTCGTATGTATTTTAACTAGACTTTTAACTACTTACCAGGTAGATTTACTTTTTAAAAAAATCTAAAACATATTGCAGCAGTCCATTGATGTTTACTGTCGTAATCCATCTATAACCACATCAGTTTTGATTGTACTCCACCAAGTGATCTCCGCTCAATTTTATTATGATTTCAACCGGCTTCCTTTTAGTGAAATGCATTTTTATTTAGGAAGGTGCCGGTGATGAAAACCTTGGCACGCGTCTGTTTCTTTAAAGGACCATCGCCAGCCCTTCTACACAGCAACAGTGACCTCACGCACCCTTCGGCTACACAGAGAGCGGCTGCCGCGGCTTTATCTTTCCACCGCTACATCATACATGCCTTTCCCTGGCCTTCCTTCCACACACGTAAGAACTTGGAGCTCTGCTGAGACTGGGGAGAACGGAGGAGGAAGACGAGGAAGGGGACTACAATTCCCAGCGTGCCTTTCGGCTCCCCCACCCGCGCGAACGGAAAAGGGGAGGGGGAAAAGTTGGGAACGAAGAAAAGCAAGAGCAACCCCGGAGGCACTGGGGATGATTGTGCGCATGCGACAGAGAAGCCCTGGAAGAGAATGCCGACGCAGGAGCCGCTATTCGCGGAGCGCGTGTACGCTTGCTTCTGCGACTCCCCGCCGCTTCCGAAGAGGGCGCTACGCGATTTGCGCAACGTTGTTGTGAATGGGGGGAAGGCGGGGTGTATGTATGTGTGTGCGGTAGTTGGTAGTGGCGGCGGCGGTGGGAGGAGGATGATGTCAGCCTGCGAATGTCAACAATGTAGCGATTGAGGGGAGTAGGCGGCGTTCCATTGGGAAGAGCGCGAGCCGCGGGGAGAGTCCGCGTAACCAGCAGAACGGGGGCAGCAGCAGTAGCAGCAGCCACAATACGACGCCACCGCCAGGCTGCAAAGAAGCACCGAGCCGCCGCCGCCGCCGCCACCTTGGGCAGACCGTGCCCGAGTGCTTCAGCGGCAGAGTAATTCCTCTGTGGCTGCCTCGTCCACCTCTCGCCCCCCCCCCCACGTCCCTATTGCTGCCGCCACCTCCTCCTCGTCCTCCAGTCCCCCCTCCACTTCCCCGCCCCCTCCTTTTTATATGTATACGTGTTTCTCCCTCCCCCCTCCCTTCTCTGTTTCCCCCTCCTCTGCAAGACTTTGCTTCGTGAGGCAGCTGTTTTTTTATTATTATTTGTTGCTGCTGCTGGGTTTTTTAAAATTATCATTATGATTATTAAAGCAATCGGCATGTGACGTGCGTCTTCTTTAGGTGCAAATTTTCTTCGGACAACCTCAGCAACAAAAATAATCCTCAGCAAGATTGAGTCTTGTCTTCTTTTTTCTCGCTCCTTCCAAACATTCGCCTCATCGACGGCGAGCTAGCGAAAGTTAACGTGGATAGAAGGTGAGTCTCTTTCTCGGTCTCCTTTTTCTTTGCTTTCTCCATCCTAAGGATGGACGGAGACGAACTTTGGCGTGCTGTGCAGCTGGGAGAGGGGCTGATTTTTTCCCTCTTGAAAATTAGGACTCTCTCTTTTCCATTTTATTTGTACCGTACTCGATTCATTTTAAAGAAAGGGGAAACGTTGCATAACTGGAAAGCGTGTATGAAATGATCCGATGCCTGTTTGGCTTGTGCGCGCTCTTAGTTATGCTCCGGATTGTGACCGGCACACCGGCTTGGCTCTCTTGGACTACCGCGGAAGGATGGCTTTTATAGGTGACCGGGGAGGAGCAAAGCGGAGTGTGGAGAGCGGGAGGGGTTGGGCTGTCTTACAATGGGTCATTTTTAATTGCATTAAAGCTTTCGTCCCGGCACACCGGGGGGCGAAAGTGGCAGTGCTTAGTCCATGCCTGGGGATAGGTGTTTTGAGCAAGCTGCAGGAGGAAGAACTCGGGATAGTAAGTCTGGCATTGTGGAGAGGGGGGGAGGTGGCGGCTGCTCTTGCGTTGTGTTTTATGTTTGTGGGCGCGTGTGTGTGAGAGCAGCTGTCAGATTTCGAGGCCGTTTTAACAAGCTGGCCAAAAGGGAGTGCAGGCATTTGGTAGGCAGATATCCCTGGTCTTTTACTCCTTCTTTATGACTCCCCCCTGCGCCCCGTGTATCTTTGGTGCGTTCCAGTTTTTCCTCCGTACGGTACTTGATGGTTCTCAAATGAACATCTTGTGCCTTAAGACAAGTTCAAATAAAGAGGTTTGTCGCTCGGGGGAGGGGGAGAGCTACTGAACAGATTTTTTTTTTTTTTTGCATCGAGTGGCATAATAGGCTGAGCGGTGGGGTGGGGGCTTGCGTGTGCATGTTTGTTCAGTCTGGGTGGCTAAATGCTTCCTGCCAGATACCCATTAAAACCATCCAGCATGGGCAAGGCATGTAAAGCTGCGCTCATTATCCCCGCTGCTTCTGTCCTCTTTGTCCCATTGGGGTTCCCTATTCATAATTTGATGTGTATTGTGATGTCAATCGGGTCAGTGCCCGGGCTTCATTCTCCCTCCCCCCTCTTTTTTGGAGTGGTGTGTGTTGCAATGAAAAGAGGAAAAAAAAAAAACAGTTTGAGAGGTTAGGCGATAGAAGTTCCTCGTCTGTTCAAAAACGGCTTGCTGCTAAAGCTTGCTGTATCATTCTGTGGATTGCCTGGAAGTGATAGCTGCTGTCTATTTCCTCCTAAAGATGCACTTGTAAAAATACTTGGGTGGGTGTGCCTGAGTGTGTATGCTTGGGACAGATTATTGCGTTTGTGGTGTATTTATAAGACATACAGGTTGAGCTGCCAAATCATCTAATGACTGGGGGCATCCTTTTGGCAAGTGGGAGTCTCATTTAAATTATTTGCAATTATTAGCACTGGAGGACTATTTCTCTTAGTCTTTCGGAAGGTTGCCTTTAGATTGTGCCATAGTTTTATGAGTCCTTTTCCTATCAATGCAATCTGTTGAGTTGCACAGTCAAGGATAATTGCCTTCCAACAAAATACCTTCATTGCCTTCTGGGATCCCAAAATAAGATAATGCTTAATGAAAGATGGTGTCCCCCCCCCCCCCCCCCGGTATAAAGTTGGAGAGATGTTAGTGCGGATAATGATCTGATTTTCCCAGATCATTAAAAATGTAACATATAGGCCAGGCAACTAACTTCAGAAGCTCTGGCTGTCATGAACTAAGCTAAGTGTGAAATCATGCCTCTCCTTTTGTGGAATGAGCTATTTTTGTAATACAGCAGGCATCTTTCGTAAAATGCTTCAGTTATTGTGAGATCATCATGCTTTTCATTATTGAAGTCCAGGAAGATCTGGAGTTAACTTTTTAATTTAAGAGAAAAAACGTGATGTAGAAGTGATGACGCCTTACAGCTTAGGAATTTCAATGAAGGAAATTGGCACACTCACTCATTGCCATACAGTGTTGCTATTTTCACTCTATAGACTAAAATTGCTTAATGTTTTAATCCCCCTATGGATGAATAAATAAAACATTAAAGTTCATACTTTGTCATATGCAGCCCAGTCCTATGCACATTTATTCAGAAAAAAAACCTAGGTGAAATGAACTCCTTAATTTTTGAATGTAGGCCTAAGGTTACCACATATTTACCTGGGACTGAGTTTGAGTGTTGCCTTTGTCATGAACTCATTAAGTGGAATGATAAGCAAATTGCTAGACTTTTTCAGCCATACTACAGAAACCATGGTATAATCAAGCAGGACAGTTTCATGCATTTTTACTTTCTCTCTTTTCCTTTTGTGCAGCCAATCTAACTAGACTGCCTTGTGTCTGATTTGAAGACAACTCTTGTTAGTTTAAATTAGGGTTGCTTCAAACAAGCCAGTATCAAATTGTTGAGCAATCTGGCTTGTTCAAAAAACAATACAGAACAAAGCAAAAAACACTTACATGAACTGACAATCAAGTATAATGAGGAAGTTTGGTTAGTTTAAAAGTTGAGGCAACTCCGCTTCTAGTCTTCATAGCCATACCAGTTGTGTGCATGCAAGGTTAAACTCTAGTTACCATTTCGTCTGCACTAGGCCACACACTCTCAGCTTTTCAGTCAGTGTCAGTGGTATGGGGGAATGTAGTCCTGCCTCACAGATTTGTTCTGTTACAACAGGATAGAGGTGTGCAATATAAATAGCCAAGCCTGCTTGCTCATTAGAAACTACTGGGGAGGCTCCTTTGAGTTCTTACAATGCTCAGCTGCTTTTGTCAGGGAGCAGGAGAGGGTCTTTTTTGTTGTCACACTTAGAAGTTTTCTCTCCTCTGATGGTTTCCCATTGTGTCATGAAGTCATTTCCTTTTTCTGGTAGGCGCTGCTGTCCACTGGTGATGATTTTAAATTCCCTGGAACTTGAGTTTTTAATGAACCTTTATCTCCCATCTTCCTAGACTCTCTTTGTTGTCTTTACAGTATTTTGAAAGTTGCCCCAAGCATTTTAAACAGAAAGGTGATACATGATCATGGATATGAGAAATATTATTACTTTAACATGCTTGAAGCTAATTTTTCAGCTCAGCAAATGTCTCTTTGAAGGAAACCTGGTGCATTTAAGGGTGTACAGATTGGCACTGTAGTATGGTGGGTATACAAGTACTCACCTGCACGTGGCAATGTTTAGATCTATCTTATTATGAAACTGCCAAGAAATTTTAGCCTGTAGCAGTGAATATGGCAACACTATAATTTATAAATCCATTTTTTAAATATAAATGCCAAAATTTGAAGGATCTGTCACTACTGTCTTAGATTTAAATACCACTTCATGCTACAGCCTGAAATGAGATGCATTTGAAAATATTGGATACTTGACTTGACATCAGAATTCTCTTAATGGTAAAATAGGAAGGGTTTTTTAAACTCCTTGATTCATAACCGTGGGAATGAGAGTTGAGACTGTATGTTTGTATTCCCAGTTCTGAGGATAACTTGTTCTGTGGCATGCTTCATTTTCTCAAGGTGCACAGGTAATGCCTTCAGCAATGCTATGAAGATGATTGATGTTTTCAGTGTAGTTAAGAGATCTGTTGATGAGTAGCTGTACTGTAGAAGTTCAAGCAATGATGAGATAAAATCTGGCCCTAATTAACTTCTGGAAAGTATGCATTCATAAGCAGGAGAGACAGGTTGAGGAGTGGAGGTAGGACAACACACCAACACTTAACCTGTCACTAAAGAGCCTTGTGGGAAACTTACAGTGCAATCTCATGCATATATACTCATTCCCAGGAAAGTGTTAAAAGGATTAATGAGGAAACCCTAGATGTTGGATTTAGTCATTCATAAAAATGCAGGTGGAGGGGTATGTGTGTGTTGAAAGGACTGCATGGGCAAATGGAGCTGGTGCTGCTTTTTCACACAAAGGCACACCGCACTGGGTATTCCTATAAAGGCTTTCAAGGTACTTTGATAAAGACATGGTGGTCATGTCTATGTGGTTCTTGTGTACAGAAATGGAGTAAGTGCATTCGCAAGTGAACACAAGGCCTGAGGTTGTTACTCGCATAGGCCAGGAGCCTAAGAACAGCACAACTAGTTGCATATGCCCAAGGGCTGTTTGGCTTTGTGTCTCTCAAGTAGCAGCCCTCTCCCCAGTGTCCTAAAGTACATTGATGTTGATGTGGAGGGGGTTTTCACAAGCACTTATCGGTATGTCTCCCTGTACTCTGTATGTGATTGATGTGTGTGTGCATGCACGCACGCACGCACACACGCTGGGGCCAGGGCCCAGGGTGGCGCGGGGGGGGGGGAGTCTTTTTTTTTTCCTTCTTTGAATAGCATTCAGAAAATTCCACTCTGCATGCCCCAAGCACTGAGCACACCTCAAGTAGGTCTTAGATGAATGTGGAGGATTCGGCTTTGCCCACTTATACTTTGGCCGGATTGATAACTTTCACTTTAGCACCACTCATTTATGCAACAACGTTCAGGGTTAGAAAGTTCACGGTTTGAATTTCCCCATTTTGCAGTTTCAAGTGCAGGCCTCGGTGAAGCTCAGACCTCAGTCTAGTTCTCATCAGTTTTTACCGTCACTACCTCTGTCCCCTTCACTTTCTCATGAAACTTGGCTTGCTGCAGTGCCAAGTGGGGCTACTGCTGCCCTTGCCATAAGGAGCCACTCCTGTGGGAGCTAGAACTCCAGAGAGATGTAGTTTTCCAGGCCTTTGTGCCCTTAAAGGTTTCATGTGTTCTCATTTGTACCAGTAAGCATAGTGAAGATTCTAGCACTTCTGAGTCCAGTTGTTTTATTTCGTGTTTTTAAGAATTGTGGCACATCAGGGGAGGAGGATGCATTACTGTATGTGCTTTTCTTGTTACAAGCTTCCTAAGGAGGGCTCTGTCCCTGAAAGCCAGCCTACAAATCTATTCAAGAAATTCAGTTTGCTAAAGAACTAGAAGCCCCCAGGAACAGAAGT